TTTTTTCCCCCCAAAAGGAGGGGGAAAAAGTGCCTGCGTCTTATGGAGCGAATCCCGACGCCCGAGACATGCAGTTTCGGGCGCCGGGCGAGTAGTAGGAGCCACTGCTCGTTTAATACGAGTGATCTAATGAGATCACTCGTATTAAAGCCGAGCAGCGGCGACGATCGTATTCAGCAATAGGAGCCACTGCTCGTTTAATACGAGTGATCTAATGAGATCACTCGTATTAAAACCGAGCAGCGGCGACGATCGAGATAACCATAGAGCAGACGAAGAACGGACGTTCTTTGTCTGCTCTGTGTCATCACTGAGACCGTGGCGCTGTAATCACAGCGCCACCTGTCTCAGCGGTCACTAACTGCAGCTTCTGTCACAGCTTCTGTCATAGAAGCTGTGACAGAAGCTACAGTCTGTCGAGTGCTCCATAAGGCGCGCCGGACCTCCCTGCGTCCTATGGTCCGGTGCGTCTTATAGACCGCAAAATACTAATTTTCTCTTTTAGGTTTATGCTATTCCTAGCAACTGAATTAAAATATATAACAGGTTCTCTTTAAAACTGCATAGCATCTTATGTATCAATAAAAGGAAACGCATGAAAAGTAGAATAGGCTGAATCTGCATAGAGAGAAGCTGTATCTCCTCTTTTGGCTTTAGTCTTGATCTCTACATGATATACCACCGCTCAGGCTTTTGGGTTGTTGGAGGAGTCCGAATTGGTATCTGAAGCTGAAAAATAAAATGGAGCAAATTTATTCTGGTAAAATTATGATGATCATACAATGATTCCGCTATGTAAAAGTACAGAGAGAAAACATCCTCCTAACACACTCTGGGGGGGAATTTATCAAAACTGGAGCAGACAGAATATGGAGCAGTTGCCTATGTCAACCAATCAGCTGCTTTCTTCAGTTTGTTCAGTTAAGGCTGAAAAATGAAAGAGAGAGCCTTATTGGTTGCCATGCACAGCTGCTCCAGATTTGATAAATTCCCCTCTCCATGCTTCCCACTATAGAGGAGTCTGTACAGAGCCAACAATGGGGAGCCAATCAGATATTTCTATTTGTATCATCAGGTGGACAATGATAAGAAGGTTCCTTGTATCATAGAGTAATATTATCTGCAGGACTTCTCATCTCCTCACATATTCTACACACACCGCACACTATAATAACACAGAGAACAGGTCATGGGGGGATACTTACTACTGGTGGTCTTGTAGCCGCCTCCCCGCTCTGTAATAAATACAATATTGTGTTAGAAACAGGAAAACACAACAAAATCTCCTCACAAACTGCTGCAGAAAAGATTAAAACTTGCAGAATGCTCAGATGGTAAAAGGTCAGTCACATACATGGGTCACATACATGGGATATTTACCACATCATGAAATGTATTTTTTTTTGCAGTCATTGCACAGCAGAGATCAGAGTTGGGAAACAGAAGCAGCACAAGGAGCCAATCAGGGAGAGCAGAATGACGCTGGATAATTTTATAACCCTGTTGTTTTTATTGAACTGTCCAGTCACAGGCTGAGGGTGGGAAGGAAATCTGTGTTACTGTACTACAGCAGAGACGAATCAGGTCTCCTGTCCTGCCAGACAGGGTTGTGTTGCAGAGCTGTGTAAATCATGACTGGATGGACAGAAAGAAATCCTTTGGCAGAAAAAATAGTTACCCTATAAATATTTATTCTGTGTATTTAGCTGTTTGCCTGGAGTTCAGCTTTAAATATAAATAACAATCAACACAATTCATAATTAATTAGTTCAAATGTTTTTTTTTTTAATTCATTGATTAATTTATTTCAACTTTTTGCTAAGAACACTAAGTAAATTCATAGTTGCATAGCCAATAAGATTGGAAAGTGTCAGATGTTCGTAAAGTTCATCTTCTTACAGCTCTTTGGTCCAGAGGAAGGCAAAGCAAACCCTTCCCGTACAACTGCCACCAGTTATGCCACACAGGAGGAGGAAAGAAAATACATCTCGACTCCCCCAAAGGCAGGCAGATCATTTCCTGGATCTTAGCCCTTAAAAATGACATTTCGGGATATAAGCTATAATGGAGTTATCTAGTTCTTTATTTTTTAAAGTCCCTGCCAGCCACCTAAAAAATATCAAAAGGCCACTTCCTAGTATACTCACCTCCGCTCTATTCCAGCACCACAGCCTCCATCAATCTCAGTGTCATTTCAGTCTTTCAGTAGTGTTGGATTCTTGTGTCCCCCGCCGTGTGCTGTAGTTTAATTTTCCGACCCCTTCATCACTGCTGTGTCTAGAGGTGCCCATACACCTTACAATTATCTGGAGATTGTTGTCTGCGATTGCATTTTTGTCCGAAAATCTGCCAGTTGATGGGAAGTGAACAACCTCAATTACTGTACACCTGGCAGATTTTTGTCTATCAAGCAGGCCAGAAAACATTTTTCTAGTTGGATGAAAATCAACAGGTTAAGGTGCCCATACACCTCACGATTATCCGACGAAACTTTTCGTCCGATGATCGAACCGTCGCACGATTGTCGTATGGCAGCCCCATCATGTCCCGATTATCGCAAGGATCAATCAGCACTAGTTAAAAAAAAAACACCTGGACGAATTGCGGTAATCGACCGTACTTATTTTTGTTTGCGCATGCGCAGTGTTAATCGTACGACTTTTGACGGACGGAAACGCCACCAACCATGCGAAAATCGTACGATCGACCAAAGTTTTCCAACATGCTTGAACATCAAAAGGCGTACGATTGTGCAGTACTGTCGGTTGGGCACTACACATACACCTTACGATTGTCGATCGCATGCGATTATCGTACGATAATCGTAAGGTGTATGCGCACCTTAAGTGGCGTGGTTGTACAACAAAAATCTCAAGATGAAAACTGCACATGCTCAAATGAAAATCAGCCAGGTGGTGGTGCCGACGAATGTTAATTGCGAACTACATTGGTCTGTGCATGATGGGCTAGTTAAACGAAAACTGAACGAGGGTGAGATGTCTGGACAAAAAAAGTTGTACAATGGTTGTAAGGTGTATAATGATGTGGAGGATTGAACCACGGTGCGTGGCAGGGACCACAACCATTCATCACTCCTGGAAGGCTTCAACACAGATTTGCGAGAGGCTGCAGTGCTGGAATGGAGGGAAGGTATGAGGCACAGGCACGGGGAGCTGTCACAGCGCTCCCTCCAGTCTGTCTCCTCTGCAGCAGCAGCATTGGAATCTTCCTCAGTGTCCTCACATCTATACACAGTGTATAGACGTGATGATTTACGGGGCCTTAGACTGCTGCAGAAGAGGGGAGAGACGAGACTGCTGCAGAAGAGGGGAGAGACGATGGAAGAATCGGTCTCAGAAGAAGCCGGCATAGAGCTTCAGGTGAGTATAACTTTTTTTTAACCTAGACACAAACACTTAATCCTTGCAGTGCGAGGGTAGCCCACTAGAAGGGTAAATAAAAAAAAAATCCGGCCTTCTTCTTTAAGTTATTTCAAAGGCAAAATAAATAAATTACAATAGAGGCCCCTTGATGTTCAAATGTTGTAGTTTCCTGCAGAATCAGCTGGTCCCCTTAGCACTGGCCCCGATATCCTGTTTTAGGGTGGATCCCTTGATGGGTCCTATAGAGCCACCCTTGTGTGCTAGTAACATGTGTGAGTCTCCACATACACAGCAAGGAAAACCACTTCCTGCTCCTCTCTTCCCCGTCTCCAAGCTAGTAGATGGAGAGATGCTGCAGACTGTGCTGTCCCTTATGTTATTGTAGACAGGATGTTCAGGGAAGATGAGCTGAGAGAGTTGGAGCCAGTTGTTTGGAAACATGATAACTATAAATGCTTGAACAAAAATGTAAAGAAATACTTTGCTGGATAATGTATACTTGTTAGATCTAGATTCATTGGATTGGGTAAAGTTTGAGAGTTTAATACTTTAAATTAAAATTCACTTTAAAGTTATGATATAATCTTCTGTAAGACACCTTCCGCTCAGTCCTCAGCCACCAGGAAGAGTTGTACGGCAGCTCTGCGTCACCCTGTAATAATGTCGGCTACATTTCCCTTAATTCAACTCTTTGTTTCTGCTGGACGGAGCGAAGCAAGAATATGTTCATGACAGTCTGGCCGCAGGGAAAGGGGCAAAGTGAAGCAGGGCATCATACAGCCTGGGAGTAAGATGGCGGCCATTATTTCCCACATCTCACAGGAAATGTGGATGGAAACTAGACCTCTGAGTCTGTGATGCATATCATTGCCATTGAAGTGCTTCTGCTTGAGAAAGTTGGTCTAGTTTCCATCCTCGTCTCCTGTTTCTTTCTATGGATCTCCTCTCTTTTTATGGATTTTGCATTTCAAGTGCCTTGAGTGATTTCTTCATGCAAGTCCATCTTATATGGATAGGGTGAACTACATATGAAATGTGCACTCTGTATTGTCATTTACAAAATTGGGATTCCTGGACAATGTGATCTACAATTAGGGCCAGTTCACACCATCGCAGCGTGAATTAAGCACAAGAAAGCCCATAGGAAAGCATTGAGATGTATTTTGACTGCAGCAGTCAAATAAACGGACTGCATCACAACTGCATATGGTGTGAACTGGCCCTAATGCAGAAATGTTTGACACATGCGCCCCAATGTGGAGTGTTTGGGCTCTCCCTATTGCGGTTGGACATTTTCTGGAGCCCTTGTGTATATGGTGATTGTGCCTGAATACTATTTTCTGGACCATATCCGCAATGGATTACAAACTATTGAACTTCCAAGTATGTTTATTTTTGAGGTGGATTTACATCTGAATTGCACTTAGAAATCACGGATCTGATTTCAGATAATTTCCATCCATTTAAAATAATTTTCTCTTGAATCTGAATGTTACATAGTAATTCTAAAAACCAACAACTATTGCAATATAGTGCCTTCTATACAGTATACCGGTGTGTTTCAGACATGCTAAAGGGGAGATGCACGCTATCATTGCATGCAACTAATGGGATCCATATATAAATACATGAGTACATATTGTATACACCATTGCTAAAAATTGAGTTTAACTATAGTGTCAACTTTAGAACAATGTTAAACTCAATTTTTGCCCTTTTGACTCTTACAGATAAACCTCAATGAATATGATCACGGTATAGGTGTATTTCAGGAGTTGCAGATTGAATTTTTATTTGTGCATTTAGGTTAATAAACCATAGCAGCCATAATAAAATGGATATATTTTTGTGTTATATGCTTTGTATTTTTTATAGGTTTTTTTTGTGTTCAATATATGAGGGCACCCAAAGTTTTTAACAGTGTGTTTTCCTAATTTCAATAAAAAAATTCAGATCTGTCACTTACTCTTGTAGAAAAAGAGTCCAACACCAACACCAACAGCGATGGCAACAACAGCACAGACGATGGCAATAATCAGAGTCATTGAGGAGCCATTTCCAGGTTCTGAAAAGAAAGAGACACAAAGGAACATGAGATGATGGGAACACTGAAAGTCTGATTTATTACTTGTTCGGGTTAAAATACTTTATAGAAGGAGACATCTAATAATATATATATAGTAATACATTATACCTGCTGAGCAAAATAGACCAAAGCTGATTTATAAAATAATAACCTGCCCCTATAACAAATTCCATCTTTAGTGAAGATGAAACGTGGCTGGACAAATTCTATACTAATGCTCTAGATTTTATAGCTGTCTGTTCATTGAACAAGTGAAACACTGGATTTGTACAACAATACCTGTCATATAAATGTACAATACAGTACGTTGGTGCAGTGGTGCTCAGTGATACAATGCTTGGTGTAGTGGTGGTCAGTAATACAATGCTTTGGTGCAGTGGTGCTCAGTGATACAATGCTCTGTGTAGTGGTGGTCAGTAATATAATGCGTTGGTGCAGTGGTGGTCAGTGATACAATGCTTTGGTGCAGTGGTGGGCAGTGATACAATGCTTTGGTGCAGTGGTGGGCAGTGATACAATGCGTTGGTGCAGTGGTGCTCAGTGATACAATGCTCGGTGTAGTGGTGGTCAGTAATACAATGCTTTGGTGCAGTGGTGGTCAGTAATACAATGCTTTGGTGCAGTGGTGGGCAGTGATACAATGCTTGGTGTAGTGGTAGTCAGTGATACAATGCTTAGTGTAGTGGTGGTCAGTGATACAATGCTTTGGTGCAGTGGTGCTCAGTGATACAATGCTCTGTGTAGTGGTGGTCAGTAATATAATGCTTTGGTGCAGTGGTGCTCAGTGATACAATGCTCTGTGTAGTGGTGGTCAGTAATATAATGCGTTGGTGCAGTGGTGGTCAGTGATACAATGCTTTGGTGCAGTGGTGGGCAGTGATACAATGCGTTGGTGCAGTGGTGCTCAGTGATACAATGCTCGGTGTAGTGGTGGTCAGTAATACAATGCTTTGGTGCAGTGGTGGTCAGTAATACAATGCTTTGGTGCAGTGGTGGGCAGTGATACAATGCTTGGTGTAGTGGTAGTCAGTGATACAATGCTTAGTGTAGTGGTGGTCAGTGATACAATGCTTATTGTAGTGGTGGTCAGTGATACAATGCTTGGTGTAGTGGTGGTCAGTGATACAATGCTTTGGTGTAGTGGTGGTCAGTGATACAATGCTTTGGTGTAGTGGTGGTCAGTGATACAATGCTTTGGTGTAGTGGTGGTCAGTGATACAATGCTTGGTGTAGTGGTGGTCAGTGATACAATGCGTTGGTGCAGTGGTGGTCAGTGATACAATACTTGGTGCAGTGGTGGTCAGTGATACAATGCTTAGTGTAGTGGTGGTCAGAGATACAATGCTTGGTGTAGTGGTGGTCAGTGATACAATGCTTGGTGTAGTGGTGGTCAGTGATACAATGCGTTGGTGCAGTGGTGGTCAGTGATACAATACTTGGTGCAGTGGTGGTCAGTGATACAATGCTTAGTGTAGTGGTGGTCAGTGATACAATGCTTTCGTGCAGCGGTGGTCAGTGATACAATGCTCGGTGCAGCGGTGGTCAGTGATACAATGCTTTGGTGCAGCGGTGGTCAGTGATACAATGCTTTGGTGCAGCGGTGGTCAGTGATGCAATGCTCGGTGCAGTGGTGGTCAGTGATACAATGCTTGGTGCAGTGGTAGTCAGTGATACAATGCTTGGTGTAGTGGTAGTCAGTGATACAATGCTTGGTGTAGTGGTAGTCAGTGATACAATGCTTTGGTGCAGTGGTGGTCAGTGATACAATGCTTGGTGTAGTGGTGGTCAGTGATACAATGCTTGGTGTAGTGGTAGTCAGTGATACAATGCTTTGGTGTGGTGGTAGTCAGTGATACAATGCTTGGTGCAGTGGTAGTCAGTGATACAATGCTTTGGTGCAGTGGTAGTGGTGGTTTGTGTTAGTGTGTGTACATTGGTGGTCAGTGAGCTGTGAGGGTGCAGTGGTAATCATTGCCGTAGTGTATGTGTGTCAGTAGTTACTTACCTTCTGGGTCTCTCCTAGAAGTGAAGTTGTGCTGGAACTATGCGTGCAATGTCAGGCGGATCAATCTGCTAAAATATTACCTGTAGGAAAATACACTGCTGACATTTTTCTGTGAGCAGCGCTCTCTGTCTTCCTACTGCTGAGGACACAATGGGGGGAATTTATTAAACTGGAGCAGACAGAATATGGACAGTTGTCCATGGCAACCAATGAGCTTCTCTCTTCAGTTTGTTCAGTTAAGCTTTGAAAATGAAATATAGAAGCTGATTGCCATGGGCAGCTGATCCAGATTCTGTCTGCTCCAGTTTTCATAAATTCCCTTCCATATGTCCTTAGCAGTATGGAGGTGGACAGTTCTGTCGATAGACAAATGTCAGCAGCACATGTCTGCATAGCCCTGGGTAGTAAGAGGGAGGTTGGAGGTAGCACCTGGTTTCAGATTAATATGTATTGGATGCCTCATTTCTGGCCTCATATACCAGTAGACATACTATACATACTCCATGTTGCCCTATTTAAAACAGCTGAAGAATTTTCTTAATATAACCAGCTTAAAGTTTATCTCCAGGATAAGAAATTATTGTATAAATACAAAAGTAAAATGGAGAGCTTTTTGTATTTCCTCCAGATCTGAGCTCTAATTTTTTGTAAAACTTTACCTCACTGCAGAAGTTTCCTGTTAGCAAGACCAGTCATTGCTGCACTCTCCTTCCTGTGCAGGGTGACTAGTCTACACACCTTTTGTTATTTCCTGCAAGCAGCCTGTAGTGGGTGGAGCCTACTAGGTCCCTCCCACAACTCTTCTCTCTAAGCAAAGTAAAGCAAACTGATGATGTCACCACTACTTTTACAAGGTAATATCTGGGTTTGCAAATGCACATGGTGCACACAAATAGAATGTATATCCTTTGTGGCCATTGAAGAATTTATTTAAATGAACATTTTCATACCCAGAGTTTATGTTGTAATAATTAATGGGATTGGGCAAATAATGTCTCATTTTCATTGGCAACATTTTGATAAATCCTGGATAGGTAATTTCATTACATTGAATGCTGTGGATATGAACATGGACGGTCTTTATTATTAGAGTCAGTGGTTTGGAAAGTTAGAGCATGGGGTGGAGGAATCATGTAGAATACAGAGCACTGCTGATCAATAATAGCAGGGGTGTGGAATTCCTATCGCAAGTTCACTTTCCCAGGTAATATGGGAAAATGTAATTACCACAGATACCTTCCCCAATGCTGGAACTTCCCGTGAGCGGAAGATTTCCTCCGACCGGCAGTGCTGTGGGAGAACATGGAGCCAGCTTCCCGTGTAATCAGGAAGCGGGGCAGTGACTAATGACTAGTTTCCTGATTGGCCTGGGAAGCCAGCTCCTTGCTGATTGGCTGCCAATCAGCATTGAGGTTTCCTGATTGGCTAGCAAGCTGGCTCGGTGCTGATTGACCGGGAAACCGGCTTCCCAGCCATTCACAATCAGGCCGACCAGACAACATGAAGTCGGCTTCCCTGGCAGTCAGGAAGCCGGGTAGCATCTCATTATCCGCTGCTCGGCTTCCTGATTGCCCAAGAAGCCTGCCCCATTCCAACGGAAGCACCGGTACTCAGTGAGTACTAAAAGCAAAATATCAGTACTCGTATTGGTGCATCCCTAGTTTTAAACTTTTAAAACTATTTTTTTTGTATTGGGACAAGTAGATTGTCATAAAGGACAAGTAGATTTGACCCCCGCTAGTTTTTGTCAAAAATGTCCACACCCCTGAATAGGAATAAATACAACACATTCAAATATAAGTCTGCAAAGATTTCTGGTAAAAGTAATCCGTCACTAGAAGACATTTTATTTTGTATTATGTCAGGTATGAGAAGGTATCTGCACATATACAGTATAGTAAACGCAAAACGCAACACTCACTGATTAAACTATATAGATGGAGGAGCAACGTTGTCACCCCAAGACAGGAAGTGCCATGGGACAAGACAATACCTCCTCCTCTTCTCATATCTCCAAAACACAGAGGGAGATGTTCTGAGGTTTACAGAGGTAAACTGGGTATAGCCAGGGGTCAAAATGTCAAGTCCTGAGCTACTAGCCAGGCCTTTAAGAGTTACTCGCCACCAGTTGACCACCTAACCCCAACCCTGCCCCGGCCTTAACTCCGCCCCTAAACACACCCTCTTAAATAATCTTATAAATAAGCAGGGAGGAGGCGAGCAGGCCGATCCCTGGTGATCTAGTGTGATTAGTCGGGTCTGCTGCAGACCTTATTAATCACTTTGTTTTCGACCCGGAGCTCAGTGAAGAGCTGGGGCTGAAAGAACGGAGAGCTCAGCAGGAGCAGCTGCTCTAACGAGTCAGGTACGTGGTCTGAGACCGCAAGCCTGACAGGAATTTCCACTCGCCTGCACTGCATTTCCACTCGCCAAATGCGAGCAGGCGAGTGTAAATTTTGAGCCCTGGTATAGCCAATTACAGTCCTTGGAATTTCAGTTCAAATGATGTACTGTGTTGTCAGCTCACTACTGAAAGTTAGGTGCACACAGGATTTCTGCCATGTCATCAAGTATTTTTCTGTAGCGGCAACCTTTTTAAAGTGACAAACATGGGGAAATGTGCACGTATTACATAGATGTACTTAGTTTTTGTTTTTTATTTTACCCACACATACACTTTAAGCTATTGCAATTTACATACCATAAAGGCAGGCAATCTTATTTTCTTGGTCTTCACTGTCACTTACCCCATATCACACTGAGAGTCTCCATCCCCAGACTGCTGTGATCCACATGACAGGAGTAAGTGTCTCCCTCCCTTGTTGGCACTTCCGCACTGACTCTGATTTGATAGGTGCCGTCAGGATGGGGGAGAACTGAACTCATTTCATCTGAAGGAACATGGTCTACCCCATTCTTCACCCACTTCACATCCACAGCTCGGGGGTGAAACCCGTACACCAGGCACTGAAGTCTTGTTACCCCGTCTGACTGAGGGCGGCCCCACACCTTCACCTCTGGACGCACTGAGAGAGAGAAAGAGCAAAATAAAAATCTGCTTGTTGTACAGAAGGTCGCATGCTGTGCTGTGGATACAAATCAATTATATGAATAGGACTTTTGACTTACCAGTAAAATCCATTTCAGGTCACAGGTAGATTCAGAGATGACTCAGACGTTCCCAAGCAACAGAACAGAGGGGTGGGTAACCCATCAAAATAACCGCCAACAGGCCCACATAACAAGAAACAAGGGGGAACCCCAACTTCAGACAGCAGTTTGTAATACCTTATTGCCAAAACTAGCATCAGCAAATGCCCAAATATCCACCTGGTAGAACTTAGTGAACATGTGAAGACGAGGCGGTGGCCTTATAAATTACATAGTTACATAGTTAGTCAGGTTGAAAAAAGACACATGTCCATCGAGTTCAACCTAACTTAAATTATTTTTTATTTATTTGAGATATTTATATAGCACCGACAATTTACGCCGCACTTTCACATAGTTGCACATTCACATCAGTCCCTGCCCTCAAGGAGCTTACAATCTAAGGTCCCTATCTCCCTATATACATATAGGGCCAATTTAGACAGGAGCCAATTTACCTTCCAGCATGTCTTTGGAGTAGGAAACCCATGCAAGTGCAGGGAGAACATGCAAACTCCTTGCAGATAGTGACCTGGCCAGGATTCGAACCAGGGAGTGCTGCAAGGCAGAAGCGCTAACCACTACGCCACTGTGCTGTCCATTTCAGGTCAAAAAGCAGTAACAAAAATGCTTGATAATAAAATGCCCCAAGAGGAGAGCGCATGCGCGAGCTTGACCAAGATGGCCGCATGCTAATCAGCTCCGCGCCAGACCGGGAGAATAACTGACCTTTACGGCTGATCACCGGACTAATTCTCCCTCCAAACACCGATTCCTAGCCTCGGGCTCCCGCCGCCGATCGGTAACTACCGAGATGTCGCAAACCAGAAGTAGGGGCGGCAAGATGAATCAACCAACCCTCCACGAGGCCTTGGGCCGCGCGGCTCACAAACTGGCCGCAGCGCCACCAATACTACATGCAGAGGATTCTAACTCCTCGGTGGAACCCCAAGACCCACAGGGAGATAGCTTGCAAGCGGCTCAGTCAGACCCTGAGTTGACACCGTCCCTGATGGCCCAATTTGAGGTAACCCTGCACAAGGCATTGGATAAGGTCTCTAAGCAGATCACCTCTCAGCTCATTAGGGAAATCAGGGATGTGGGCAAACGAACCTCTACATTGGAATCCCGCTGCAATGATATCACTACCATCATTGAGGGTCATGAGGAAGACTTGGAAAAGCTTCGCTCCTTGAACCTAACCCTTCTCACACAACTAGAAGACACTGAGAACCGGGATCGCAGATCTAACCTGCGCATCAAGGGGGTCCCCGAGACGGTGATAGACCTCCAATCCACCGTGACTGCACTATTTCAGGAACTAGCGCCTGATCTTCCCATAGACAGAATGGAATTCGACAGGATTCACAGGGCCCTGACGAGACGCATGCCTGATGGTCCCCCAAGGGACATTATCGTGCGTCTCCACTACTATCGCACCAAAGAGCGTCTGCTCCAAGCGGCTAGGGAAGCAGGATCCCTGCAATTCCAAGGATACTCGTATCAAGTCTATACAGACCTTTCACCAGCCACTATTGCACGCCGACGGGAATTTAAACCCCTGCTGCAAGTTCTACAAGCCAAAAAGATACGGTACCGCTGGGGCTTTCCCTTTAAGCTACAATTCTTTTATGATGGCAAATCCTACACCTTTATCACCGTGGACGAGATGAGGGAATGCCTTGACTCTCTACATCTACTGGGTCGCATGGATGTGGCCCCTGACGACGATGAGCCTAAGATGCCACGACTGTCACCTAGCAGGGACCGCCCGACAGACTCTCCGAAAGCACCGCGGATGACACGACAACTCCCATCCGCCACGGGCTCATTCGGCTGATTTTACACCTGTGTTCCTGTTTTCCTTCTTTTTTCTCTTTTCCACACCCCACTTGGGGAAGCTGTGTCTCGCCCCAAGGGCTGATGTTGTGATAAGCCGGGTCTCCACGAAGTGACAGTTGCCATGGTTGGCGGTTTATGGCCCTGGTGAAACCCGCACCCACCCCGAAGATTTTGGAACTGTTCGAACTGTTTTTAATGTTTATTTTCTTCTTAATTTTATTATTTCTTATATAACTAGTTAACGATAGCACGCACATCATAAGCATCTTACCCTATTGGTTATAGTGTCAACCATACCACCATTATAGACCTAATGCAACCCATAGGGACATGCCCGATGACCACATTGTGGCAATGTTTTCCGGTTTATTTCGCTTGTTCTGTTTGTTCTTAGAAGGTCAGCCTCCCGTTCTGGCGTTCCCCATGCGCTCCACACTTCACTACCTCGACCCAGGTGATTGACCTGGATTCGGTGGGGTGAACAGTTTAATTCACACAGGTTCAAAGTCTTAACCGCTCCCCTAGTACTGCACTCAACTGGTATTGCCCACACCCCCCTGCCACCTCCCTTATCTTCCCTACTGTCTATGCCTTTGTCTTCCGGCTACCCCATCCCATCCCCTGCCTCCCCCCTCTGCCACCTCTATCCCCTATACTGAAGTAAACATGCCACTCAAGATAGTATCTCTCAATGTTCAGGGACTTAACCACCCCAACAAACGGAACAAAGCCTTTAGACACTTTAAAAAAATCAAAGCTGATGTAATCTGTCTCCAGGAGACCCACTTCCCTCAGTCGTTCAAGCTGTCGTACCTGCATTCTAATTATCCTCTGTTTTTTTCAGCTTCTGCATCTACAAAACACAGAGGAGTTCTGATAGCGTTTGGTCGTTCCACTCCCTTCATCTGTCAGAAAGAGATCAGGGATCCAGAGGGAAGGTACCTAATACTGGTAGGCTCGATCCATGATTGCACAGTTACAATGGTATCCTACTATGCCCCTAATACGAGCCAACTTGGATTTATCACTCACCTACTCCAGGTTCTTGACCTCCATGCTAAGGGGACTTTGATCGTGTGTGGGGACTCCAATTTATTGCTACACCCCCATGTTGATCAACATGATCCCAACCACCCGGCAACCCCCTCTAAGGACTTGTCTGCGGCCAAGCGCTTCAGGACCTTGCTGACCCAATATCACCTAGTTGACTCCTGGAGAGAGATTCACCCCCTTAAAGAACAATACACGTTCTACTCTAACCCCCATAATGTATTTTCACGCATTGACCACATTTTAATACGCCCAGACGCCCTTACACAAGTATCCTCAGCGGAAATTAACCCAATTCCCTGGTCGGATCACGATTCAGTTAGTATTAAATATTGCTTTAACTATTCCCCGTCCACACAGCTTCTCTTGGTCACTGCGAGACTCCTTACTGACCAACCCTGATATTCTGGCTTCGACCCAAGCCTCCCTGACTGAATATTTCCAGTTAAACACTGACGTGGTCTCTTCACCAATAACAGTTTGGGAGGCCCATAAACCTACTATCAGAGGTCGACTGATCCAACTTGCATCTCAAGCCAAAAAGAAACGGACAGCTCGCATTGACCAATTAGAATCTGATCTACTAGTGGCATCCCAAAATTTTCAACAGAGGCCCACACCTGAACACAGATCAAGTCTGTTCCACATAAGAACCGAACTTAATCTTTGTCTAACACACCTCTCGAACGATAGATTGGCCTGGACCAAACATAGGTTTTATATCAAAGGTGACAAACCAGACACGATGCTCGCCCATAGACTTAGGGAAGCCAACCCCAGAAAAAACCCTATCCAACTACGCCTGGGAGGGGCCCCAGTCACTGCCCATCCTATCAAAATATTAAATGCCTTTCAATCCCACTTACAAACTCTTTACCGTGCCACGGGCACCCTGGATAAATCCAAATTGGACACATTTTTCGCCACCCTAAACCTTCCTACCCTCTCTGAAGAACACACACAACTGATTGACTCCCCCATCACAACAACTGAGATCACTGCCACAATTAAACTCCTTAGCAATGGAAAACGTCCTGGGCCAGATGGCCTTGGCGCTGCCTATTACAAGAAGTTCAACGACACTTTAGCGGCACCTATGGCAGCATGTTTTAATGCCTTACGTGCGGGGAGTGAACTGAGAAAAGAATCGTTAATATCATCCATATGTATGATTCCCAAGCCGGACACTGACCACACATACTGCACCAACTATCGCCCAATCTCACTGATCAATGCAGACCTGAAAATACTTACCAAAATCCTAACCCTTCGCCTCAGATCCCCTCTCTTGGGTCTGATATCTAGGGACCAAGTGGGCTTTATGCTAGGTTGTCAGGCAGGTGACAGTGTCCGCAGGATATCCCACTTACTCCATATATCACACCAAAGAAACATTCCCACTATGCTTCTGGCTTTAGATATTAGCAAAGCGTTTGACTCAGTGAGCTGGGAATACTTGAACTATTCACTTACTAGATGGGGCTTTGGAAGCTATGTTATGAGATGGATAGGGGCGTTATATTCCAAACCGACGGCTTACATACAATATCAGGGATTCCACTCAGACTCTTTTGAAATAACTAGAGGGACGAGACAGGGGTGCCCTCTTTCCCCCCTGCTTTTCGCTCTAGCCATAGAGCCCCTAGCGCAGGCAATCCGTCAACATACTGATATTAAAGGTCTGGAAGTCGCAGGATACCATCACAAAATCAGCTTATTTGCTGACGATGCGCTATTGATTCTTACAGAACCATTGATCTCACTTCCTAATCTGCAACCACTACTGAAGCTATTCGGTAACCTCTCGGGCCTCTGCGTGAACATGCACAAATCTAAAGCACTAGATGTTTCCCTTCCCCCCTCGGTACTCACCTCCTTGCAACAATCCTTTCCATACCAATGGGCCCAATCTGAACTACCATACTTAGGGATCCACCTTACCCCATCGTATGCTCAGATGTACCAAGCTAACTACCCCAAACTATTCTCCCACATGGAAACCCTACTGTCATCTTGGGAGAAACATCCTTAATCATGGCTTGGTAGAGTCACAGCAGTTCAGATGACCCTGTTTCCTAAGTTTCTATACCATGCAAGGGTCCTCCCCGTACACATCCCCTCTTATCCCCTTAGACAACCACAACGCCGCATACTTAATTTCATATGGAAAGGGTCCATTCCTAGGGTCTCCCAATTGGTTCTATATCGGAGCAAAGTGAGAGGGGGCTTGGCACTCCCCTTTTTCCACAAATACTACCAAGCTGCCCAATTGACCCCTATGGTGTGTTGGTTTTGGAATGGCGAAATGCCACTGTGGGTCTCACTAGAGGCCTATGCTTGTTCCTCGATTTCCCTTCTCAATCCTCCCTCCTAAAATAGGCAGATCACTGAACAACCCGATCCTCATGCACACTCTAAAAGTCTGGGAAGGATTGCATCGTCACTTATGTTGGGTATCCCCTCAGTTGCCTCTGATGTCCATTCATGGCAACCCATTGTTCCTACTGGGATACAGCAACCCAGCCACCTTCACACACTGGCGCGCCAAGTCCCTAAGCTTACTTAGAGATTTCTGTTCCGAGACAGATATCATCCCATTTCCGATACTCCAAGTCAAGCACCAATTAACCTCACGACACATCTTTCAATACTTGCAAATCAAACACTTCATACAAACCCTCCTGGATAAGTCAAGCCCCCTCCCCACCCTCACCCCATTTGAGGAGTACCTACTCGACGACACGAAAAGCGGAAGACCCATCTCAACTTTATATGCTACGATACTTGACCACCTACAAACTCCTCTCCCCGCATACACCTCTAAATGGGAACGTGATCTGGGGTGCCCTATTCCTGCTGAAACATGGTCTCAAATTTGGATGACAACCTCTCGGAGCTCGGCAAACGTCCAGGCGCTTGAAGCCAACTACAAGCTACTCCTCCGGTGGTATCTGGTACCCCTTAGGATCTCTAGAGCCATCCCGTCCTATTCACCGAACTGTTTCAGGGGTTGCCGGGTGGAGGGATCGGTCCATCACATTTGGTGGGCTTGCCCTAAAGTGAGGAGATTTTGGCATAGAGTATACCAACTTCTGTACACAGTCACAGGCAAAACATTTCGCAAGGACCCCTTGGAAGCCCTGCTACATAAGAAACCGTCGGTGTGCACAGTTCGGCAACACCGTCTGGTCACGTTCATACTTGCTGAAGCCAAGAGGGTAATTGCGAAAGCTTGGAAGTCCCCTGACATACCATTTGCGGAGGTCAAGCGTAGAGTATCGAGAGTGATGTTCTTTGAGAAACTTACAGCTCTCCAAAAGGGATACTTTGGTGTCATTTCGGAAGCTGTGGGAACCATGGATTGAGTCATACCATCCTCCCTCCTTTGATATGGAATCCCTGATCCTCTGATTGAATAATAACAGAAGCTTTAAACAATTGATCCTTTCCCCTATCCCAACCTCTCCCCACATCCCCTCCATCCTCAACCGTCCCTTTTCCCCCTTCTTGAAACCAGTTACTCCATACTTAGCCTCTGAACCTTAATCCCAAAGTTTTTATTTTATAATTTTTATTACAATGTTCGTTATACTTACGATGTTTATATGCAGTCCTGAAGGACTAAACTACTTGATTGTACCACTGTACTGTGGAAACCTGAGTTTGTAAACTTTATTTGATTCTACATTGGATTTCACACTGAATGTGAAAGTGTGATCATTCTTATGTGCACTTAAAACAAATAAAAAAAAAAACCTTCTTGAAAAAAAAAAAAATGCCCCAAGAGACCCTGACAGATCTAGTAGAATCCACCTTCACCAGAAAAGGCAAAGTGCCCACTGCTGTCAGAATACCCAAACAGTGATTGCAGCTGATTGTTGGCTGCTAGCACGCTTCACCTGACAGTTTTCCAGCATGTCCCTTTTAGCAGAAGTCTATCTAATGACTGACTTTGGGCAAGCAGATGGGGCCACCCACGGATTGATTTTCCACCAATTGCTCCTGTTGGCCTTTATTCGATCCATGCGTACCCAGCTTAAGTCTTTAACCCTTTAAGACAGAGCCTATATTTAATTTACAACTGATAATGAAATCAGATCTAATGTGTAAATAGTATAGTGGGTTAGGGCTGCAACTAATGATTATTTTCATAATCGATTAGTTGGCTGATTATTTTTTTGATTAATCGGATAGAAAAAAGAATGAAATGAACACCATCCTTAATTTAAAATAAATAAAATACACAAATGCAGTGTTACAAACATAAAGTTTACTTCAGAATAAAAAACTGCATGCACATTTTTTTGCAATCGTACTGCACTGAAATGCACGGCATTGCGGTACCTTGTGTTCCAGTGCGGGCAATCACACTGTGGGTGGGAGGAGCGTTTGGGGTACCATTGAAATGAATAACACTGCAACACACCTTCCGCAGCAACATTTGTCAGACCAAAACCGAAAATGACGTTTTTCCAACCTTTAGTAATTTTTTTTTTTAATAATTGAATTGTAAGCACACGGCGCTTGGATAGCCAGGGAATGACAGCTGCCAGTGGCAAGATTCCGCAGACGGCAGCTGAATGTAAATACAGCAGGTAGTGGGCGGGTGCAATACCCAGCCTGCTATTGGTCATTTTAAATTGCAATAGCAGGCTGGCTGTTGCACCCGTCCACTGCTTGCTGTGCTCTCCTCCCAGCATGGAAGAGAGAGCTAGGGGATCCAACCAACTATTGACAACTATTCTCATTATCGATTAATCGATTAGTTGGTTGCAGCCCTATGCTGTGTATTTACTGTGTTATCTGTATAGAAAACATGCACACAGTGGTGACTGTGTATACAGAGTATAGTGTCGGTATAACTTATAAGGTGTATAAACAATGTTGTATCCAGTCACCTTTTTTCTCCAAATCTTCTCCCCCATACGTTATTAATTTCTGTAGAAACACGATACATTCATTCTCCAGATAATTCTCGTCCATCTCCCCCAATCTGACCTCAATGCTGTTCCATCTCTGGGTGGAGATCTGAGCCTCGTTCATGGTTGGCATCCATATCCAACTCTTTGTGTCCAGATACATGAACTCTCTCCCATCATATCCGTACTGCTGATACCCCGCAGTGGTTCCGTCATCTCTCAGCTCACAGCCGTACATCCTCTGGAGAATATGGATCCCTGCAGACAGGACAGAAGATGTTACACAGGAGCAGATTGGAGCATGTGCTGCCATGTGTGTAATAACGTGTGTGCTGATGCAGGAAGGTCACCATGTGCCCAACCCCAAATTCCCCCAACCAGCACAGTATTACCTTTGTCACATCAACCTCTCTCTTCTCCACTCTGCTACTGACTATGTCTACAACAAAATACCACCCCTGTCCTGCCCTGTCCTTCCCTCTCCGCCCTACAACAGCTCGCTCTCATCCTCCCTAGACACAATGGTTCCTCTCATTAAACACAGACTTAGGCCGCGTCCACTACAACCGAGGCAAACAGGAGACACCAAAAATCTTAAAAGACATAGCCGTGCTCTGGAGCAAGTGTGGCCTAAAACTAAGTCCCGGCAAGACTTCACACTGTATAAAGCTGCCCTCCTAAAATATAAATCCTTCCTCCGTGCAAACACTTATATTGTCACTCTCATCAACACCCTCTCATCCAGACCACGTCAACTCTTTTCTACCTTCACATCTCTACTATGTCCCTCACCGCCCTCCACCAACTAACTCATTGACTGCCCAGGACATGGCCATTCATTTAAAAAACAAGAACAGAGAAGCAATTGTGATGCCTGGCAGTAGTCATTCACTTCTGTTCCACCCCCATGAAAACCGGGGCGAACGGCAGCGACTGAGCAGCCGGAGCTTTGGCTCAGCCAACTGAAGGCAGCCGTACAAACCAGAAGTGAATAGCCGAACAGCGTTCAGCTCACTTCACTTTGGCCGGGTCATTCACTCGGCTGCCTTTGGCAGCTTTGTGAATAACCCTAATAGTATTACATATTTCTAGGCTTATATGTTAGTTTGGGTACATTACCAAACTGAACAAATGAATATATAGAAAATCAATCCATCACTTAGATCCTTCACATTCATACATAATCCCTATAAGAATAAATACCCAGTGGCCCAGTGGCTTAGACATTGCAAAGTTTTCAGAGGCCAAGTGACTGCTTTGTACCATTGTTCTGGAGAGAGAGAAAAGTTTAGTTCCGTTTCCCACCACCTCATGGATGGCAATTTATCAGTAGTTTTTGGTTCGCTAAGTAGATTATAAAAAAAGGAAATGCCTTTCTTGGATGGGGAATTAGTACCATAGTAGTGTATGCATCTCCTAAGAAGCGTTCCATCGCGCACACATATAGAGGCCAGATAGTGTCTTATTCTGAGGTATTTATAGAAGTCGCGAGCCGGAAGAGAGTATCGCTGACATAGAGCCTCAAATGGCAGCAGGCGGTCATTTTCATACAGACTGGCTATATACGAGACCCCCAAACTTGTCCAGTTGGACAAATGTATGTATTAGCGGTAACAATTTGAGTATAGATTTGTTATGGGATTGAGTCAGTGTCTTATTCTGAGTTATTTATAGAAGTCGCGAGCCGGAAGAGAGTATCGCTGACATAGAGCCTCAAATGGCAGCAGGCGGTCATTTTCATACAGACTGGCTATATACGAGACCCCCAAACTTGTCCAGTTGGACAAATGTATGTATTAGCGGTAACAATTTGAGTATAGATTTGTTATGGGATTGAGTCGGGGACTCAAGGGCATGCCAGACTCTCAAGGTCGCTGTCACAGTGTCTAAGAAAGATTTAGTGGGAGAACTATTTAGTAGGGAAGAACAGAGCAGAAGATTGAGGTCCGTAGTTAAGGAATCCCGTTCTATTTGAGACCATAATTTGTCTGGACGGGGAGTCCACCAGTATTTAGTGTTCAAATTGTATTTCAGCATAAAAGGAGGCACCTGTGTTCCCCTTTCCTTTGATCAGCCAATGTTGGATGGATGCAGCAGGACACCTTTGGACATCGGTTGACCTTGGAAAGGTAAATATTAGTCAAAAACAAAACAATAAAGTATTGTTTACCCATTTTTAAAGCTTTTCTTACTTGCACGTGCCAGTGAACTGGTTGGGAGTCTGAAGGAGTGACCACCTACTTGCCCCTATTGGGGGGGCGGGGGGGGGGGAGGCCCCCCCCCCCCCCTTTGTCTTGCCAGCCCCCATCTGGTGCCTGTTAGTACCAAGCTAGGGTGCTTTATGGGGGGAAGCTCTGAATTTAAGAGGAACTTCATCTGAAAACAATCTCCCAATGCCGAAGAGCATATGGGCAGGTTTCTGCATAGCCGTTCGCTGCTATAGGAGTAGCAGCCGGCATGCCTGGTGTTCTGGGCTGGTTTGTCCAAAGAGAGGAGGTCTATGCATTTTATTAAGATATTTCATGCTCTTAGACCCCATTCACACTGAGCAACATGGTGAATCGCACGTTTTTACCCGCGCGATTTCGTGCTGAGCGGCATTGAGCTACAATGCGCGACATTGAGCGACAGTGCACATTTTATCGCGCTACGTAGCGCAACTTTTGGGAAGGACTTAGTCGCTGCTACATTGGGCTGTAACCAATCAGCAGCGGTCTTGATGTGACATCATTCTTTCCTGCCATTTTGCAGTGCAAAAGTGACCCTTCTGTAGCCGGTAATGCGCGACTTTGCACAACACCATTAAGTCTATGGGGCCAAATCGCGCGACATCCGCCGAAAAAAGGGTCATGTATGAGCAACAAGCTACAGGTGACATTGAGCAGTAAGATGTGAACAGCTCCGTTGAAATGCATTGGACAAGCTACATAGAGCAACATTGCGCTGAAAAATGCGCGATTCTGGAGCTGAAATCGCACGACAAGCCGCTCAGTGTGAACAGGGTCATAAAGATGCCACAGGGTATAAACACAGTTTCAGCACCATTGAAGGATATTTCTGTTATATAACAAGATTCGACAACAAATAAGAAAATAACCTTTACTGTCCTTTCAACATTTGAATCATATTCAACTTGACAGTTTTCAGTTATGCAAGATTCACCCATCAGCGACCTGCATCATACACAGAAACAAATAGCCAAATAGTGTTGAATCTTAAAACTTAATTAACCACTTAAAGGCCATAGTGTTTCACCCCCTTCCTGGCCAGGCCATTTTTCAGCATTCAGCGCTGCGGTACTTTGACTGATGTTTATTCTATCATGCAACGCTTTACTGAAACGATTTTCATACCATTTTTTGGGGACACATAGAGCTTTCTTTTGGTGGCTTTTATTCACCAATGGGGTTTTTATTTTTTACTATATAACAAAAAAAGTACCATAAATTTTGAAAAAAAACATGTTTCCCTATAAAATGTTATTAAACATTTATTTTTACCCCAATTTTTTGGTACAATATAAAAGACGGGGTCACGTCGGGTAAATAGACACTAAACATGTCAACCTTTAAAATTGCGCGCGCCCGCGAAATCGCAGAAAACGACCGCAGCCAAAATTGGCCATAGGCGACGCTTTAAACGTTTTTACCGCTCATCAGTTTAGTGTTATCAGTGATTGATGGCCCTAGAATTATTGCTCTCACTCCGACGTTTGCGGCGATATGTAACATGTGCTGCATAATGGGCGCAATCGTCGGTTTCGTACATAGGCGCACCCGACGCATGTTTGCGTGTGTATGTGGGGGGGCGGGGGACTTTAAAACATTTTTTGTGTTATTTTTTAAAAAAATTTTGAGCTTCTTTATTTTTTTTAATGCTGTAATTTTTTTTTTTTTTAGACTTAACTTTATTGCTATAACTTAGGGGACTAAGGAATCCCCTATGTAATAGCCAGTTCACCAAACAGGTCCTCTTTATGGAGACATCAGGGGTCTCAAGACCTCTGATGTCACCTAGGGACCCCCACAGAAGCTGATGAAGCACAGATCTGCTCCATCAGCTTCTCTCCGGTGTTCTGCACCGGAGAGTGACACTGAATGCAGGAAGTGATGTAATATACATCACTTCCTGCATTCGGGGACAAGAAGAGAGATCAAAGGGATGATCAAGTAATGATCATCCCTTTGATCTCCTGTTAGAGCGTCGCCGTGCCGGTCCCAGCCGCACCGGCCACATCGGAACACGGGACCGGCAGCGGCGGCGAAGAGACGAGCAGGAGGAGGGACGGGGGGGCGCCGCACACCCGCAGATCCTGCAAGCGATCGGGCGTCTCTAGAGACGCCTGATCGATTGTATGTAAACAGCCATCGCTGGCTGTTTACATGCTCACAGTTTACCCTCTCGTGTGCGGCGCTCAGCGCGCACACGAGAGGGGGAACGGGCAGGACGTCTTAAGATGCCCACCCGCTCTGAGCAGACGTCCGGCCGTTCACAAACGGCCATGGACAGAATGTAGTTAAGATGCAGTTGGTGTCATTCCTCCTGCTTTGCACTATTGTACTGTAGCAAAGTTGATAAATCTCCCTGCATTGTGTTGCATCTTGTCTGAGGCTTGTATTTTGGGAAATAAAGAGTGATAAATGGGGAAGAATTGTCTCACCTCCAGTCTGATTGAATCGGCTCATCAATGTCCGCACATTGTGCTTGTACACAGGCTCAGCAAATTGATCTTTTCTGGTCTCCTCCTCCCAGTATTCTGGTTCCACTTTCTTCATCCACTCAGTCTTGGGAACATACTGACGAGTGTCACTGTTATAATTTACTATCTCCCGATCATCCACATATCCGACTACAGAGTACTCAGGAAGTCCGGATTCCGGAGCGGAGACTCCAGTGACATAATACCGCAGAGAGTGACTGTCTGAGAGAGACATGGAAACTGTTACACATCATACACAGCATAATGTATACAATGAATAAATACCAAATTTCTTCCGGAGCCTATCAAAATCACCTAATTTCTACATTCATTTGAACAGAATTATACAATTATCTCTAGTCAATGTGAAATACTTTAAAAGGCTGAGATAGATGAGCCCCCAGAAGTCAATAGGGCTGTACTGCACAGGCTTGGCCAGGAGAAGGAGACATTTCTGTAGGAGGAAAATAGCGAGGAAGGCTGAGCCCATCAAGAGTTATTCGGCAATTATTAATCTGAGTGGGGGAAGGGTAGGATCAGTTGGGTCAGCATTAAGATGCAGCATACAAAGACAGCCCAACAACACTGCTGAACCTCTTTGGGACAAATTAAAATGCTGACTGCAAACCAGATCCTTTCATCCAACATCAGTAACTGACCTCACAAATACATTTTCTAGTAATATATACCACCTGAGGCTGGCGTCTTCAGGGGGGGGGGATGTGGGGTGCTGGTGCTTCAGGTCTGGAAAGGGGGGGTATGGCGCTGGGGCTCCACATCCAGGCAGTGGGAGGCTTGCTGGTGCTACTTCTGGCTCTACCTCTGGTGTCTCATCCAGCTCCTAGCAACCAGCGACATCAGTGAGCCGGGCGGCATGCCGGACAGAGCTGGAGCCAGAGGTACCACCAGCACTAT